TTTCAGACTCGCGAACTCCTTACGTTTGGTTCCGCATTTGCACTGGATTGTGGTTGAAGATGGAAACGAAACAGTCCCTTATGTTGGGAAAATTCTCGAACGATCCACTCTACCTTTCGCCTGCTTTGCTGCACAAACTCCAGCGGATCATCCAGGTGAGCTTCGTTTTACATAATTTTGCGGTAATTTTGCATGAGTGAAAGCGATTATTACGAATTATTTTTTTTTGAAAATGCATTTACGCTGCTTCGTTCTGATGACCTATCAACTTTTGACTGAAGAAACATTTCATCGCGGAATATGTCATGCATTACAAACTTTTGATTCGACACGTACAGTAGTAGTTTCCTGTGGTGGTTGGAAATGGGAAGATTTTGGAGTTTGAAGTTTGGGCTAGGATTCGGTGAACCCTAGCCAATGGATGTGTGCAAATATGTGTCGTGTCATGGGACTCGTGTAATCAATTAATAATGCACGTAGGGGAACATCGTACGTTTCTACTGCCGTTCCTAGTTGTCCAGTCCGGGGCCATCGGGGCGCTTGGAGCTATGGCTTGACAGAAGATGGCGGGCTGCTGCGTGGACGGCTAGGAAGACCGTAGAGCTGCTGACTGACGACCGACGACCGACACTGACGCCGCCTGACTGGCATGGCAGAGCCCTTTTATACACCTGCCCGGAGGCCCCGCCCATTGGGCCCGCCTTTGAGAGTAACGTGCGCTTTCGATATTGCTGATGATATTCCACGAGGAGGGAGAGGGGTGGTGGGCAGGGTCAACCGTCCGTTGGACAAAGTCCAACGCGCTCTCTACGTGTGAGAGTAATGCCGAGAGTGAACGTACGCACGGAGACACAGACGGCTCGCGGGTGGCGAGAGTGAATGCCGGCGCGGAGAGCGGTCAACATCGGTCCAACGTAACGGTTGACCCTGGTGGTGGGTATGTTAACGTTTATGGCGTGTTGGGGTTTATCAGGCTAAACTTTTTTGGCAACGGTCACCGGCTAAAAGGAGGTATTAGTGAAGGGGCAAAGTGAAGAGAAAGTTCATCCTAGAGACTTCCTGATAAGATTACAAAGTTGAGATGCATATCTTTTGACATCAGAATGCTATTCAATAGACTTGCAATCGTAGCGGTGCAATCTTCGTTGTTATCATTTTCCACCCACTTTTTATGTCAGTGGCTTACCTAGCCCTTGAAGCCCTCGTGTGTCACGTGCGCTGGGCGCTGGACCTCTCACTTGCGGTATTTTTCTGGCAACAGTATGTAATGTACAATAGCTTGAGTTTTAACACTTTGCGGACCGCCCTTATACGGGTCTCCGCACCTTTTTATGCTTATTAAAAACGAATTATCATTATTCTACCAACAAGTTATCAGTGATGATACTTATTCTTTTCCGGTCCTTAAATGAGTGCAAACACACCAGGAGCATTAAAATGCCGAATAAATCAAACAAAACTATAGCCTTTCGTTTGGAATACTCAATGTGTTAAGAAACGTTCACGGCGTCAGTGTTGGGTGTGCAGTAGGCTCCTCTCGAGTACACACTTCTTAAGAAGACATTGTTCATAAATAATTCACGATAGCAAAAGGTGGAACAATCTTACCTTTCGTGAAAGCAGATGCTATGAAAATTCTCGGTAAAAGTCCGAAGCAGAGAGTGGTAGAGGGTGCCCTGGCTAATAAATATCCGAAAATGGAGTCACACTCGAGGAATGGCATTCCTTGATTTGTTCTTGATTTCTGCTTCAGACAAAACAGCAGCCAGGCCGAGCTCATTGGCACGTCTTAGTAGCAAGCTCGGAGATAAAATGGGCGTGTAAGAGCGTTCAGTAATGAGGCTGCAGGTCTACAGTGCTATGGAAAAGACAAGGTAGTCTACGTCATCTCCACCTTGGGATAGAGAATGGGCGTGCTGAACGAGTTCGACGAATTTGGATCCAATGCCCCACTGCCGAACATTGAACCTAAATGCAACCGTTGTAGCAACTGCCGCTTGCTCTTTTCTCGCTTTGCAGCGTCACGCCACTAAAGGGGGGTGGGGGGAGGTTGCCGACGAAAGAGTGAATTGCAGGTCAAAGGAGCTTCTACGCCTTCATTGCGCACTGCCAGACCGCAGAAGCGCGAATCAATACCTGTCGGTCTGTCTCCCACGCCCAC